TGAACCTATACACCTGATTTCCCCTAACATTTTGGGGTCAGGGACTGTGTCCTACTAGTCTCATTAACTCTTCCAACACTCATTCCACATTGTGAATAGGATGTGCTTAATGAAAGAATGAAAAAATGGGTCAAGCTACTAATGCTACAAATTACTCTGTGTGTTATGAAAAGAGTTTTCCTTCTGTTCTATTTCGCTCCTACAAAGGAAAAAAATCAATATTATTGGTCACTATTAGAATGATTTTTTGAATCTGAGATGAACATCATATTATCGTATAATATCTAATGAATTGTTATTGTAAAACTTATTAACACAAACCATTGACTTTTGCTAACTTAATCCTTGCTCAACTGGACCTCATGGTTTGGTTCACTATGCATCTCCTTTATTGTACTTATTTCTTTCTACTTATATTATTTATGAACAAATTAAGTACAAGTGTTCCCAATAGATTATCAATCAATCTACTAATCAATAAGCATTTATTAAGCACTTGTAACATGCCAAGTACTGTGCCAAGCACTGGGGATATTTAGAAAAGCAAAAACAGTCTTTGTCTTCAAGGAATTTATGTTATAATGGATGAGAATTAGAGGAGGGTTGACAACATGTAAATCAGTTCCTACGGCACTAGGAGCTAGGGGTACCAGGAAAGACCTCTTGGAGGAGAGGGTGCTTATGTGCAGGCTTAAAGGAAGCCAAGAATTCTTAGAGTGGAGGTTATGAGAGGGAGCATTCCAAGTAGGGGGGACAACCAGTACAAAGGCAAGGACAGGAAATAGAGTCTTATGCATGAGGGACAGCAAATAGCAACGGTAAAATTCATGAGTAGAATGTAAAAAAATAGAATTATATTCTTCTTGGTGGCAAGGGCCACATCTTATTCATCTTTGCTTTCTATTGTAGGTCCTCAATAAATGCTTGTTGATTTTATTTGAATTGAAACAGATACATTAAATCCAAGACTGGTTGACTATAAACAGATATTATAGAGAGGAGTCATACATCAGGAAGTTGATCTCTAAGTTACTTCATAATTTTGAGGTGCTATGCTTCTATGAATTGAATTATTTAAGCCTCTTGAGGTCATGAACTGTGCTTTTTTCATCTCTGTGTTGATAGTATCTGACGTGTAATATGTACTTTAAAAATATTTGTTGAATTGAATTGCATGTTTGTTTAGTAATTTCCTATTGTATACATAGACCAGGAGATGGCAGCATAGCAATAGACCCAACCTTGTCTTGTTTTTATTTTTCTTATGACTTTCTTTATGGGATAGTTGGATGCAGATGTCTGTCATATTTCCTGGATTTGGCTATAAATGACATTGAATTAGTGAATTGTACCGACCTTGTTTTGGTTTTGGATTGACTTTTTGCCCAAAATGCCATTTGTTATTTTTTCATCTTCATAATCAAAACTCTGTCATACAGCCGTAGGGTTTAATGAGATATTTTATTTGATTGTGTCTGTACTTTTCTAAGCAAAATTATTTTCCTTTGGTTAGCAAGATGTGCCTTATTTTTACTTAAAAATAAAACTCCCATTAGCTCCTTTATGCATTTCCTTGCTTAACTATGAAACTAAGAGCTTCTTTCAGCAAAGGGAATAAGTTTTTTCCCAAATGGCAGTCCCATAGATTTTGAACACCCTCGATAACCATGTGTTTCCTGTAGATGGTTGGACCTAGAGACAGTTGTCACAGCACATTATCCACCTGATGAGAAGGAAAAGGATTTTCTAGGGTCTGAGAAAGTAAAACCTCGAGTGAAAAAGCACTCACACAGAATTCCTGGTTCAGTTCCTGGTGCTTAGATACATTAACAATTTATTTTCCATTGCTGCTGCTCAGGCTTTTCAGTTGTGTCTGACTTTTTGTGACCCTAATTTGGGGTTTTCTTGGCAAAGATACTGGAGTGGTTTGCCATTTTCTTCTCCAGCTTGTTTTACAGATGAGGAAACTGAAGCAAACAGGATTAAGTGACTTGTCCAGAGTCACACAACTAGCAAATGTCTGAGGCCATATTTGAACTCAGGAAGACGAATCTTCCTGACTCAGGCTTAACATGCTATCTACTGTGCCACCTAGCCACTCTGCTTATTTTCCATTATAATGGAGTCAAAATGTGCTAAATCACACATTATACCAATTCCTCTAGGAATATTCTATTTCTGTGAAAATTTAGATCAAGATAATGCTCACGTTAAGAAAACAGAGGGATGTGACATGTTTGACACAGAAAGCTCACCTTTCAACTGATCTTCAAGGTACAATCACCAAGAGTTCTTCATTTATGTTTAGTGTATATGCAGTCATGATGGACTAGTCTTTTTAAAAAATAGTAGCTCATGTGACTTCTCTGGACCTAGTTTTCTCATCTGTAAAAAGAGGGACTTGGACTAGACGATTTCTGAGATCCTTTTCAAATCTATATTTATAATCCAATGTTTTCACTTGGGAGCATTGCAAAAAGGGAGAAAAGGAAAAGTCATTGGACTTGGAGTAGAGACCTCAGTTAGAAACCTGCTTAAGAAACTCACTTGATGTGACCACCAGGTGAATCATTTAACCTCTTTGAGCCTCAGGTCTATCATCAGTAAAGTGGGGACAATGATAGCATCTACCTTTTGATGCTGTTGTGAAGACAAAACAAGATACATGTAATAAGATATATGTAAATGCTAGCAATTATTTTTCTTGGTTAGATGATTTGTTTTTAAGCTGGGGTCTTTTGCCTTAACCATATATCCCATTACAGCAGTGATTTAAGGAAATTGAGTCTATATTTATTACCATATATATACTTTAACTTGTGCAAAAGAACATTAGGGAGGGAAATAAAATCCTTTGATATGACATAAGACACCCCCCCCGAAAAATGACTTATTCCATTAATTTAATTTCGAAAGCTAGGGAAAAGCAACACAAGAGAAAACATAATTCATAGGATCAGAGGGAGAAAATTCATCTCTTAGGTAAATAAGCACTTGCAGGCAACTTCTGTGGGTGTGGGGAGTGGAGGGAATGCAGGCAAATACACATAATAATGAGTATACACTTGGTCATTAACCCTAGCCCACACACCTTTGCTGATCCCTGCACTAGAGTTCCATCTCCCCACTCTGAGAATATTTACTTATGACTGTCCCTCAAACCTGCAAATTTCTCACTCTTCATCTAATCTTCCTGGATTCCCTGGATTTCAAGTCTTTGCTAAGGCCTCATATTCTATAAGAAGGCTTTCTGGATTTCCCTTAATGTTAATGCCTTTCTTCTGTTGATTATCTTCAATTTATCCTGCATATCTCTTGTTTGTACATAATTGTTTGAATATTGTCTCCCCCATTACACTGTAAACTCACAGAGAAAAAGTTCTGTCTTTGCCTTTCAAGGTAGCTAGATAGTGCAATGGATAGAGTGCTCCAACTGGAGTTAAGGAGATCTGAGTTCAGATCTAACCTTATGTAGTTACTAGCTGTGTGATCCTGTGCAAATCATTTAACCTCCATCTACTTTAGTTTTCTCAATTGTAAAATGGGAATAATAAAATCACCTACCTCCCAGAGTTGTTGTAAGGGTCACATAAGATAGTATTTTTAAAGAGCTTAGCATGGTGCCTGGCACATAGTAGGTGCTTAATAAATGCTAGTTAATGGAAAGACTATCATAAATCATCTCATGGTGGTTTGCCCATTATCTTAGTGTTCTTTATAAATGGTACAGAAATCTCCTGAAAGAATTCCCTGTGGTCATTTTAAAAAAATTAATGATACATTTTTGGTAGTGACATTTTAGACTAGTTAGATTAAAATGATTAAAAAATGAAAAATCTAAACTCATGTTTGGTTTACATACTATAGAACACTTTATTATATTATACCTAATTAAAAATAGCATGTTTAGTAGAACATAGTACATTTAAAAAAATCTATTATTGAAAAACAGTCACTAATAACAGGATGGAACTTACTCCCTTTTCTAGAATTGAAAATGTCTCTTGGTTCTTTGAGACCGTGTCTCATTCCTTTCATTTCTTCTTCATTAAGGCTTGTTATTGTAGTCTAAGGTTTAAGAGTCTTTGTCCTTAGTTTCAGAGGTTTATCTACAATTTTTAGTAGTTCAATTCAGCATCCTGTTAAACCTTCTCCTTTTTTCTTTTAATTAATTAATTAATTTTAAATTTTCAATATTCACTTCCACAAGATTTTGAGTTCCAAATTTTCTCCCCATCTGATCCCTCCTCCACCCCAAGATGGCATGCATTCTGAATACCTCTTCCCCTAATTCTGCCCTGCCTTCTATCTCTCCCCCCCCTTCCTCCCAGCGTCTCTTATTCCCCTTCCCCTTCAATTTTCCTGTAAGGCAGGATAGATTTCTATAACTTATTTCCTGTATATCTTATTGAACCTTCTCTTTTAAATACCATCAGCATCATCAGATCAAGGATTCATTCATTCCTTGCTGCAAAGATAAAGTATCAGTGGGACTGGCTAAGGAGTCAGCTCTCTAAAGCCATTAGCTAAAATTAAAATGTAAATATTGTTCAGTTTCAAGTAGTTGAATAAATACTGGCTGGAAGATAAGTCTTTTCTTAGGCTTCTCTCTTCCTTTTGGTGTGGTGTTTTAAAATGCAAGATTCTATAAAGTCAGGGTAATGTCAGTCTTGGTTTTCTTAGAACAGAATACGTGAAGCTGCCTAATAAGGGTTATTTGATGTTGAAGACAAAGGAGAATGAGGTCATGGGGGAAAGGCTAGTGTGCTCAGCCAAGTAAAAGAAAGTATAAAGTAGATGTTTACTTACCCACTTAAGCCATTAGATAGGTTTTGGCTTATTTAAAGCAAGAGTCCTTAACCTGGAGTCAAGGGGCACATGGATAGATTTCAGGGGTGTTGATGAACTTCAAGGAAAAAAATATATACCTTCATTTTCACTAACCTCTAACTGAAAAAATTAGCATTTCCTTTAACTATGAGCTTTAAAAAAAAACAACATTCTCAGAAGAGGTTCATGGGCTTTACTAGACTGACAAAGGGGTCCATGATGTGAAAATAGTTTAAAGACCCCTGGCTTTAAACAATGGCATCCAAGATTAGCCAGATTACCACAGATATTTGAAGTTGAAAGAGATGTAGATTTATCATACATTTCAATCCTCTCATTTGAAGATGAGAAAACTGAGGCCCTAGAATGTTGAGTATCTTGCCCAAAATTATGCAACTAAGTACTGGCACAATTGCAACCGGAACCTAGATCTCCCACCTCCTACTCTCAGGTTTTTTCATTTATGTTATGCTCTGAGCAACAGGGAAATTAAGAATGAACAAATACATACAGAGCCTTGGTATATGCTGGAGGAATAGAGATTGAGTATCTTCTATTGCCATGGAACAGGAAACCATTTAAAGTAATAAAATTTCTAATTTTCTCATGTTGTACACATTTTGTGATATATAATGAAATAAAAGATCATAGTAATAGGCACACAATAAATGAATAATAAATTTAATTTGTGAGATGAGAGTTGTATAAAAGGTGGCTGTATTTTCTGTTCCTTTTACTCAAAGAATAATTAAAAAAACATATGAATGCAATTAAATATAAATTAAGCATAAATTAAACATAATTTTGAGAATCTTGAATTCTTGAGAATACACATATGACTTGAGTATTCCCTACATAACAATGACAAAGACATTGCATTAGAGGTTAGTTTTTGATTTAATCCAGTCCCGATAACGGGCCACTTTGGTATAGATTCCAGGCTTGTTTTCTTTTCCACAGCCTATTCCCCAGCTTACTATTCCAATAATGTACCAGAGCCTGTTCTCTGGGATAACCAGTGGTCCTCCAGAATCACCCTAAGGGAATAATAGGAACATTCACAATATTACATAAAATAATTTCAGAAAAGAATATCAGAAATAATAACAGCTAATATTTATATAGTACCTTAAGTTTTATAAAGCACTTTACATACATTATCCCCTTTAAGCTACACAATAGCCCTATGAGAAAGCACTATAATCATCCCTATTTTACTGAAGGAAAAGCTGAGGTTGAGTGAGAATTAAATGATTTGCCCAGAATAATAGAGTTACTAAATATCAGTGGTAGAACTCAGACTGAGAACTTGCACTTGCTAAGAACAGCATTCTTTCCACTATGCTGCCCAGCCTTCTCCAACAATAGTATCAGTATCATTAGCATCATAAGAGAGAAGGGCAAGTGGTAGATAAATTCCTAATTGAGATATTTTTCAGCCCATCCTAATCTTCCCAGCACCACTACTTATTTGATAATTTTGGATCATCTTTATTCTGTGGTTTATCATCCTTTGTTCTTTTAGCTAGAGCATAGTGATAATGAGGTTGAGATTTCTGGTTCAGTCTCCAAACTGGATTGAATCCAGTCAGCTAGTTTTTCCTTCTTTGGGTCATGAGAAGACAAAAGGGCACAAATATTGCTTCCTTGGTTAAGTCTTTCCTGAAACTCTGTTCTCCCCTACCCCCAACAGAAGTAGTTTCTCCCTTCTCTGAACTTTAATAACACTACACCAAACATATAGTATTTAGCACATAGTGTCATATTGTTGCTATTTACCTACATACGGCTGTCTAACTTGGTTCTTTCTACATTCTATTGCTCTTTCTTCTTTTTCAGTAATCATTTGCTCCCCAGTTTCAGCTGGTCTAGATTGTCCTGAGCAATAATAGAGTATTGAGAGAGGTCTTCTCTCTAATAGCTTTTGCCTTCCATTTCCCTCCCTCCCTCTGCCATATCCAGGTTTCATGGAGATTCTTAAAGTGACTTTATCCACAGGTTGATAAGGCTTTCCTCACTTAGAATGATAATTTATGTGGTTGTCAATTTCAACTTACCTCACAAGCATCTATTTTTCCTGACAAGAAACCCGCACATATCATTCCTGATGATACAGCTCCACCATACACATCTATTCTGTTACAGACATCGTTGCTTATAATTTCCACTTTGGCTTCTCGCAGTTTATTTGAGATTGGACCTAAGAATGAGGGGGGAAAAAATTCCTAGTATTTTTCCATTGATGGGTTTCCTATCCATTGTGCATGACTGCTTTATTCCACCTCATGAAATGATATACTTCTCGTGGATAGAGCTCCATTTTTAGGAGGAAATCTTAAGGTTGAGTTGAACTTCTGTAACTCCAGGCCTAATGGTCATTTGAGAACCTCAAAATGGGAAGGAAAATATTGTAATCATCTTGCTAGACAAGTGCCAGTACTTCTTTGAATACTACTTCTATCTACTTTTCTGCTAAAACCTTTTAAAAGGTTCACAAATTCCATTGCCTGTAGTCAACTTGCTTTCCCAAAACACATAGCTCTATATTCCGAAAGCAGATGTTAGGATTCTGTGGAGCTAATTTTAATTTACTAAAATAGCAACAATAAAACCTTCTGTGTTGATTAACACAGAATAGCCTATGTATACTTGAGTGTGTACAACAGATAAGGAGATCCTACCAAACCCAAGGTTCAAGATTGTGATGTAATAAAGGCCAAACATTCTCCAAGCTTCTCTGTAGCTATTGATCTTGAACCAATTATAAGTCAGGAGTTTTCATTGCTTCTTCAGTAATAAACTTTATATATCACATGCTCATATCAGCACGCTGATAGTGTGGGACCAGAAACTCTGTAGGCTCAGATTTGAACCTGCCCCTCATCTGGAAGTACTCAAGGTGGCCTTTCAGCATCCATGTTCCCTAAATTTACTTTTCGACTGTAATCTGGTGGTTTTACCATAGCTTTCAACAAACTCCATATGTACCTAGGAACTGTGTATGTGGTTGTGCTTTTACTTGTTAATGAGACCACAGACTTATTAGGAAACTATTCATCATAGAATATTTGCTACTAAATGTAGGAGGTTCATCAGGGGAATTCCCTGACCAATTTGATAAGCTTATGGGTGGTGGGTGGGAAGTGGGAGAAGAAGAGGGGTGACTGTTTGTTTTAGACTTTTTTTGTGGTGTCTCATCCATTGGGATAACTTGATAAGTTTGAACTATTATAAGTCAGAATCACTGCAATAAGTGGGCCTATAAAAAGTTGCAGAATTAATCATTTCCTCCTTTTTCTCCTTTCTGAGCATAGCTCAGAGACTAGAGACCCTAAAAGTGGACTTTGGTCTCTGGTAAGTGCCTATGTATTGTCATAGTCTCCAGGGTTTGTCTGAACGCTCCCACTTCAGCCTAAGCAATGGTAGCATGTAGGGTTGACAGTTATATGGTAGTTGCGCACATGGTCAAACATTTGTTCCTAGGAGAAGGGATCTGTGTGATGAAATAGTTGTAGTTCCTGAGTCCTGGTGGACTTACAACTTAGGAGGGAATTGACAGTGGTAGGAACCTTAAGGTTATTATTGTGGCATTCTCATCACCTGGCCTGGAAGTGTTAGTGAATCTGCTTTTGAGTAGGGGAAGTGAACCCATGGGAAGAGAAGAGAATTCTGGTACCAGACTAAGAGAGGTGACCCAGAGACCTAATTTTTACACTATATTTCCTGAGTCCTCTAGGGCCCAGGGCTCATATTTTTGATGTGGAGGCATATTCACCTAGCCCAATGGTGCAAGTAGCATTCTAGACTGGAACCAAAACAATGAACCTCTCCTAAATCAAGGTTCGTAGGGATAGGTAAAACTGTCCCTCTCCCCCTATGATTCTACCATGGCAACACATGGTGAATTCTAGGATACCTGCGGAAGCTACTTGTTGATTGTTGTCATTTACTCTCAAAGAGAACCAAAATGACATCACTATGTTGGGGTCAGACCAATACAAGCTTGGAAAGCTCTCCCACAGATGGGGCACAACTGGTCCATATGAACATTTAGAGTGGCGGTGTCTCTAAATTTGCGCATCATGTCTCTTTTGAGCTATTGTAGTTCTGCTTTTCTCATAAAGCACAGCATCTTCCCTGATGCAGTCGCACCATGCAGGGAGATTCTGTGCCAGTGTCTCCCATGTCACACAATCAATTCCAAAGTTCTTCAGCGATACCTTGAGAGTGTCCTTGTATCATTCCTCCTGACCTCCATGTGAGCACTCATCTTGTGTGAGTTCTCCATAAAATAGTCTTTTAGGTAAAAGTGTATTTGGCATTTGAACAACATGGCCCGCCCATCGCAGTTGCACTCTGTGCTGTAGAGTTTGAGTGTTTGGCAGTTCAACTCGAAGAAGGACCTTGGTGTCCAGTATTTACCTTGCCAGGTGATCTTCCTCAGGCAATTCAAATAGAGACGATTCAGTTTCCTGGCGTGGCACTGGTAGACTGTCCAGGTTTCACAAGCACACAACAATAAGATCAGCATAACGGCTCTGTAGACCTTCAGTTTTGAAGACAGCCTAATAATTCTTCTCTCTCACTTTCCTTTGGAGCCTCCCGAAAACTGAGCTAGCTTGGCAATGCATGTGTTAACCTCATCATCTATGTGTACATCCCTGGAAAGTATACTGGCAGGGTAAGTGAACTTATCCACACAATTTAAAGTTTCTCCATTTGATATAACTGACGGATACATAACTATATATAACTACATATGGACAATGTGGTTCTGGCTGGTAGAAAAACCTCTGTTTTCTTGGTTTTGTCAAGCCAAAATTAGAAGAAGCAGCAGAGCATCAATCCATACTTTGTTGCATCTCAGCCTTAGCAGCAGCGTTGAGTACACAATCAACTGTGAACAAAAAATTGTGCAACCAAGAATCCCTACACTTTAGTCTTGACTTGTAGCCTTTTCAAGTTAAATAATGTATCATCAGTGTGGTAGCTGAACTTGATGTAATTTTTGTCCTTGTTGAAGGTATCTGACAACACCACTGAACACATCATGCTAAAAAGCATAGGAGCAAGCATATAGCCCTGCTTCACTCTAGTGATGGCTAAGAAAGCTCAAGAACATAATCCATTATTCAGAATCAGTGTAAGCATGCCATCATGAAGCTGATGTACAGTACTGATGAACCAAACCAAATTTTGTCCATAATTTTCTACAAGTCCTCATGACTGCCAGTATCAAAGGCCTTGGTCAGATTAATGAATATTGTATACAGATTGCTGTTCTGTTCCTGATGTTTTTTCAGGAGTTGGCAGGCAGCAAACACCATAACAACTATTCCTCAACCCTTTCTGAAGCCACGCTGGCTCTCAGGTAGATGACCATCTTCTGGGTGAAGGATCAGCCTTTTAAGGAGGACTCTGGCAAGAATCTTACCAGCAGTGCCTGGGAGACCCCACCTGTGATTGTCGCAGGACAACCTATTTCCTTTTCCTTTATAGAGCTGGACAATGGAGGCATCTTTGGATTCCTGGGGAGAACCTCCTCTTGCCATATAACCCAGAAGATTTCAGTCAACTTTTGTATGAGCAGTAGATCCCCTGCCTTGTAAATCTCAGCTGGCATAGAATCAGCATCAGGCTTTTTGCCAAAAGAGGAGTCTTGATGTCTTTGATGTCTCTAGGTACTCCAAGCACCTACTTCTGCTGCCTTCATGATCCTTGGAAAAAATTGTTTGCATCTACCCATTCTGCCAGGGAAATTCTTCAAATGCTTGGGTTAGACATCGCCCTACCTCACCAATGGGTTTGAAGCCAATCAGTTAACCTCAACCTGGTTTAGCTGGCCTGCCAAAATGGTTTGCTGGAGTGTGGCTACTATGGATGCTACAGCTTCTTGGAGCCACTGGTGAGAGTTGAGTGGCAGATGGACACCAAAGGTGGAATGCAGCCCTGCAAAGGGCTCCATAGCCCTCACACCAGAGGTACTAGTTTTCCCTAACACCCACATACCCTTGGGGAACGTACTGCAAGGTGTCAAGATGAGGTCTAGAAATGGATTAGAGGTCCTGCACTGAGAAAATTTGTCTAAAAGCCCTAGAATAAGGGGATGAAGATAAAACCCAAGTGGATAAGATTGTCAAATCAAGATCTTGACCCTAAAGGGAGGGATCCCAGAAAGACATAAAGGTACAGGGGCCAGGTGATTATCTTTCTTGGCAGAACTTACAAACCAGGAAGAGAAATGATAGTACTCCTTAGTAATACAGGTTCCCCAGAAGAAAAGAAGAAAGGAAGATCAATTTAAGTGAAATACTGAAAATGCTGAAGGGGAGAGGGGCTAAATAAGTTTTTATATGTGGAGTCACTAGCCCAAGGGAAAACAGCAGACTAGTAGTAGCCCACTGTGCAAGGACTGGACTTGGCAGACAAAAGGTACTTCCCCAGTCATCCACCATCCAGGGCAAGCAAAAAGCAAGAGGGAAAAAAACTTGTGGAAGGAAACACTGCTGTAGCTCCCTACACCCTTCCCCAGATGAGTGGTGCAATTTCCTGAAGGACATCCTTAAAATGCTACATACACAAAAGTAGATACGACTCCTGATTGACTAAGAGGCCTTTCCCACCTATAAACTAAATGCTTCATCTGCCTAATAGTGACTTGCACAGCTTTATAGGTGCAGAGGTCTCTTTTCATGGGAATGCAAGTCATATCTACTATCCAAATTAACCAGCAAACAACAAATTTAAATATTGCCTCATGAGACAACTAGAAATTTTCTTTGTTCATGAAGATTTGTTGATGAGTTCAGTTTGCGGGCTAGTGAAAGCTCTCAAGTAAGTAGCCAAATCACATTATCTATGTCAAGGTAAATATTAGGTGGAAATATGTAATTTGCTGAGACCCTCACCACTTTCTTTAGATGCTCCCCATCCAGTGACAACCACATTAGACTGGGGCAAAGCTTCAAAAGTGGCTTCTGGAAGACATATAGGTCGGACATCATCTGAAAAAGTAACTGGATTGGACAGAAGTACAACAGCAATGTCATCTTCATGTTTGTGGGAGGCGTAATTTTCATGAATGATGATTGACCGTACATTTCGCCTCATCAAGGCAGGCTGGAGAGTTGTTCCAAAAGTAGCAGTCCATAGTCGTGGATTTTTATTGCTGATCATGGAGGAAAAGATCACAGTCAGCGTGTGTCTGATTTAAGGTTGCACTGAATCTAAAGCATAGATTTGTAATCTGCAAGTCACAATGTAGACAAAATTTTGAAGTTTGACTTTGGTTCTCCCATGTTCAATTTCAAGGTACCTTTTCTTATACCCATCTCCCTCTTAGCTAGTTGTCAATAAATTCCTGCTAAAGATAGAGTAAGGCATTTCTCCAGGAACACCTACATCCTAAAAATAATTCTCAAAGATCTAAAAGTCTTCAGAAATCAAATAAATTAAATTCTAATGTTGGGATTTCAGGCGATATGGCCTGCAGGTAGTGAGGGAGATAGAGTTTAAATATACTGACACCATATATAAATGCCTTTAATTTTACAAGTATTTTGTTAGCATAAATAGAACTGAAGAATAAGAAGAGTTTTAAGTTTATTCTTAATCCTCATCATGACCTCCATATCCTTCCCCCTCTGTGTTCCCTGTGGCCATTATCCCTTCCCTGATTTTACTTCCCTTCCTTCCCACTATTAACCTTATAGTCAACCAGTCAAATGCAACACTAGCCTCTACTCTTTTTAAAAAATATTATTTTTAAAATATTCATTTTTGAACATTTTGAATTCCAAATTCTCTCCCTCCCTCCAGCTCCTCCCACACTCAATGAGAAGGTAAGCAATATGATATCAATTATGCATGTGAAATCCTGCAAAACACATTTCTATATTAACCATGTTGCAAAAAAGCAAGGAAAAGTGTTATATACATATATATATATATATATATATATATGTGTATATATATATATGTATTGAAGTATATATATATACTTCAATTTGCACTCAGAGTTCATCAGTGGATAGCAATTTTCATCATGAGTCCTTCAGAATTGTCTTAGATCAATGTATTGATCAGAGTAACTCTTAAGTCTTTCACAGTTGATCATTGTTTCAATATTGATATTATATATACAATGATCTCCTGTACTCTGCATTAGTTTATATAGGTCTTGTCAGGTTTTTATGAAAACACCCCCTTTGTCATTTCTTATAGCATAATAATATTCCATCACAATCATATACCACAACTTGTTCAGCCATTCCCCAATTGATGGGCATCCCCATAACTTCCAATTCTTTGCCATCACAAAAAGAGCTGCAATAAATAATTTTTGTATACATAGGTTCTTTTCAATTTTCTTTTTTATTTTTTTGGGGGGATAATAAACATAGCAGTGGTATTGCAGGTGCAAAGGGTATAGTTTTACAGCCCTTTGGGCATAGTTCCAAATTGTTCTCTAGAATGGTTGGATCACTTCACAACTCAAACAATGGTGTATTAGTGTCCCTACTTTTCCATATCCCGATTTACATTTATCATTTTCCTTTTCTGTCATGTTAGTCAATCTGATAAGTTTGAGGAGATACTTCAGAATTGTTCTAATTTGCATATCTCTTATCAATAGTGATTTAGGACGTTTTTTCATGTGACTATTGATAGCTTTGATTTCTTCTGAAAACTGCCTGTTCATAACCTTTGCCCATTTATCAATTAGGGAATGGCTCTTATTTTTTTTTTTTATAAATTTGACTTAGTTCTCTATATATTTGAGAAATGAGATTACTGCCTTGCCAAATCCCAACCTGGGATCGCTCTCACCATTTCCCCCCTCTTCTAATCATAAGCTGATGACATGTGCTGGGAAAGTGATACAACTGTGTTGACTGGGTCCACGACAAACTTTTTACAAAATTTTTATATAATATCACCTGAGCCTTCACTACTGCAAAACAATTCTTTTACTTTTTTTCTAAATTAATTTTCTATCAAACTCCTTAACTTTGCTGTTTTTAACTTTATCTTTTCTCCTTAAGACTCCCACACTATGCCTCCCCTCAGTTTCTCTCAACAAAGGATCTTAATGCATATTTTGCTGAGAAAATAAAGATCATTCATTGTGTGATTCCACATCCCTTCTACTCTACATCTCAAAAGCATTTGATATTACTATCTCACATTCTGTCCTTTAGCTTCAGTTTCTAATGAAGAAATGACACCTCTCCTTGTCCAGGCCAACCCCTCTAACTTGTATCCTTAATCCTATTCCCTTCTGTATCCTCAGGCATGATGCCCCCAAAATCACTTCTTCCTAATATTTAAAATTTTTCATCTGTCAGCTCATTCTCTGATGCCAACTGACATGTGTAGGTTTCCTCTATGTTTAAAAATAAACAAAAACCCTTCACTGACTCTATTGTCTTCTCAAGGTGGTGTCCATCTTGTAGTCTGGCTTCCAACCTCATCATTGAACTACAACTGGTCTCTTCAAAATTACCATTGAGCTCTTAATCATTAAATTTGATGACCTTTTACAAATCCCCATTCTTAACCTTTCTGCAGCATTTGATTCTGTTGACCACCTGGATATTCTCATCTCTCTGGGTTTTCATGATACTGCTTTCTTTTGGTTTTTCTCCTAACTCTCTGACTATTCCTTCTCAGCCTCCTTTGCTGTACAGTCATGCATATCTTGCCCACTAAATGTGGGCATTCTCTGTACACCATCACTCCTCCATTATATTTCTGTACCATGCTTGTGATCCTTTCCCAAAATTTTTCATCTATTTCCTCTTTCTATCCAAGTGTTCTGTAATATGCTTCTATCACAAAATTACTTGTGTTTCCCCTCCATTGCCCTCAAGCAAATGCTCTACATAATTCATTTCCTCTCTGATTCCTAGGGTTTTTCAAATAACAACTACAGCTGACACTTACATAGCTTTTTATTGTGTGCCAGGCACTGTGCTAAGTACTTTACAAATATCTCATTGATCCTCACAACAACCCTAGGAGGTAGGTGCTATTGTTATCCTCTTGGGCAGATGAGAAAGCTGAGGCAAATGGAAATTAAGTGACTTGCCAGGCTCACACAGCTAGTAAGTGTCAAGTGTTTGGTCTGAGACCAGATTTGAACTCAGGTACTCCTGACTTCAGGGCTGGTGCTCTATCCACTGCGCCACCTAGCTGCCCCTCCTTTTCTAATACATAAAGTTAGACTCCCCAATGCCTCTTTAAATTATTTTATTTTTTTAATAAGGAATTAGCAACCAAAACTATAGTCTAGTGATATATTTCATTCCATGATACCTCAGTGATATCTGTGAGAGCAAATTGCCTCCTTGGATTAGGACCTTTAGTTCTTGTTTGTTGTCTAAACTGTGTGCTTTTCTATATAAAACATGAGGCCATGAGTTTTACTACTGCCTCTTTTCTTGGATTTTATCTCCTATGATTTTCTGTGTATCTCATTGCCTCTATTGCTTTTCTTTTTTCTATATAGCTAAACTCTGTGGTATCTATTGTATTTCACCACATAATTGTCACAGATTTTATGTCAAATTTTTTGCAAAAAAAAATGATGTGTGACCATTGTGTGAAGCTCTTAAAAATCATGCCAGTATTACTTAAAAGTCATTTATTGCTAAACTGTTTTTGGTGCAAGATTAGAATGCATGGAATACTTGTGAATATACATTAAAATTGGGAAGATGCAAGACTTACCATATCATGTGACATACTCATGGCCACTTCACCTACCTGCCTACTCCCCTTGTGCCTACAGGCTCTTCATTGAATTGAGTGACAATACCTTCAGTTCTCTAGTGTTCTAAATAAGCCATGCAAGTTAGCTTTCGAAAATATACTGGTGATGTGCATGCACTGAGAATTCTAGACTCATAGCTCTCAATGCGAGAGAGATAAATGCATATCCATGTGCCACTGGTAAATACATTGCTGCTCTGTTTATACCTTTTACACACTGTGATGAACAGAATTATACCATGTGATGATTATGAGATGAAAAGTTATAAATCAGTTTTTGGACTGAAATAAACAAGGTGTAATGATTAGGCAGTGGCAGTGATTATGAGGAGAAATATGGTAAATTGGGGCATGTAAATAAGTAGTTTTTCCCTCCACCAACCTTTTTAGGTTTAGTTAGATTTTTAAAACATCTAGCAAAAATGTTTTTACCAGCCTCTGTTAGATATGTTTTAATTCTTGCTAGTAATCTGTTATCTTTATTCTGTATTTCAAGCTTGGGTCCAGAAATCCAAATCGCGTTTTCAAACACCACTTTCTTAGCCATCAATTTACTTCCTAAATTATTGTTTTTTCCTTCTTTATCTCTTACCTTCAAAGGGCAACAGTGAAGAAAACATCACTTTTGCCTCCATGGTCTTTAGTTTCTTGACCAAGACTTCATAATCATTTGTAATACTTTTGCCAACAAATGCTTGTGGATTGATTCTTTCCTTAAATGGTAAGATAGATTTAATGAAGATTAGAGACTTACTTATTAAAGCAATGAGCTGAAGTCAGCAGCCACTGGTCACTGATCAGAGAAGCACCACAGATATGATGTCTATCCACCTGCAAGCTAGCTTGCCATGGCCAAGAAGCCTTCTGTGAAATTTTTCCTCCGTTAGAAATTCTTTCAGTGAGAAATGAAGGGTCTATTCCCAACCCACAACCTATTAAAGGTGGACAACAATGGTTACTGCCAAAGAATTATTCATATATCTGCTTATGTTTTTATAATATATTAGCATCAGGCACATTCAGATTTAGAATAACAGAATCATAAAATAGACTTTTGAAATCACCTAGTACAATGATTATATAAATAGGAAATCCCTCAACAACATTTCTGACAAGTAACGAACCAGTCTTTGACTAAAAATCTCTAGTGATGGGTAACTCATTATCCCCCAAGGCAGCTCATTCTCTTTTTGGACAAGTATATCTGTTAAGAAGTTCTTTATTATATTGAGCTGAAATCTGTCTCCCTGGAAAATTCTATTCATGACTTGTAGTCCTGCTCTCTAGAGCCAAGAAGGACGTGCTCAATCCCTCTTCCTCATGACAATTCTTCAAATATCTCCTATGGAGTCTCCTCTAAGTTTTCTCTTTCCCAGGCTAAGCATCCTCATTTATTTAGCCAGTTCTATATTGGAATGATTTTAAGTACCCTCACTTTCCTAATTGCCCTCTTTCAAATATATTCCAATTTGTCAGTGCCTTTTCGAAAAAAATATAACACCTAGAAATGGACACAAAATTTTAGGTGCATTTTGATGAGGACAGAGTAAAGAGGGATTTTCATAGAATCATAAAACTCTGGTGCCCCAGGGCACTTAGAAATTATCTAATTTAACCCCATCATTTTACAGATAGAGAAACTGAGGCTCAGAAATGTAAAATGAATTGCCTATGATCACACACCTAGTATAAAGGAGATAGAGTATTGGAATCCACTTCCTGAGATTCAATGTTCAGTGGACTTTCCATTATATTAGGCTCTCTCCTGTTTGGCCTTCCACTCATCTGCCTTAAGACAAACCCTTTTTTGGGTATCTCATGGCCAATAATGATAAGGGACTTATAGTCAGGGTCACCTTTGGTACATTAAGGTTGGTGAGTATATTCTTCCCCTAGGCCCTGACATTTATGTTTAAAGTCCTCTTTGAAAAAGTTAGATGTTCCCTTCTTTAAGAAAATCCATCTAAACTCATTTAACAACTAAATTATTGACATTATAAAAGGAGTAATCACAGCACTACTTTAAGAAATAAATGATCTGAATATCTTTGTTCATTAAATATACCACTGATTTTTAGGAAATTATTCACACACAATTTATACTCATAAGACATCAGAGAGCCAATAAATATTCTAGGTATTGTATTTGTACATGGTACTTATGTAACCTTTATTTTTAAAAATTTCAGTTGAATTGTATCATTGAGTATAGCATATTTTTGAATCATTTCAGACACTAAAAGACATAAATCACCTATAATACTGATTCTTTAGATATCGTGGTATTCCATGATTCATATTAACACCAAGAGAGTACTAGTGTTAATAAGGAGAGTTTTGTGTCAGGGTACACAATGGGATCATGAAAATACTGCACAGTTTCCCCAAATCAATCCATTCATTTTCTTCTTCCTATATAATTATGAGTCCATATCACTTTCCATTTACAGTGCTTGTCCAAATATATATACTGATGGACCAACTCATCAAAATAATATGTGCATCATGCATTTTTCATCTACTTGGTTTTTCTTTGTGGATTACTAGGATGATCTGTTTTGGTTGACTGGATTTCACTGAGGAGACCCTGTAGCATCCTGGGTATAGGTTTAATCAGCACAATCAAATGTGCAAATATCTGGAGCAACTTACATTGATCCATTTGGACTTTGAGCAGAATATTTTCCATGATAATAATAAAACACCTTTGGCAAGTTTGTGACTCTTTCTTTTAGACTTTCTTATTTTCTCAGGTGATGCTGTTGTAATATTACATCCTTTTCTTCTGTAATATTTTGCAAATAAGCTTTATCTTAAACTGCTTTTGCCTTAAGTGTTACATCTTTCTGCTTGGCAAGGAGAGCAAGTATGTTCTGGTTAAAGTGATTTGGGGGTACTTTAGTATTTTTTTGTGGTGATTTAAATTGATATTTATCCTCCAAAAACTATGAGTCCTAAATTCCCCCCCTCTTTTCCATTACTCTGCCAATTTAATTGTAGAGATAGAAGAATTCCTTACAAAACTGAGAGACATTTATACATATTTTCTTTTTCTTTTCATAGGTTGTTGTGGCCAAATAATTTATCACCTAGTAGCAAAACCACTGACTATAAGGTTCTCTGTAATTAGATAGGCTGGTCCCAAGTCAGTGAGTGTAGTCATAGGATTATAGGATCATAGCTTTAGAGCTGGAAGAGACCTCAGAAGTCAGCAAGTACATTTTTCAGATGTGAAAACTGAGGGCAAGAGAGTCTGTCACTGGGATTGTATTTGTAGCTTTTTTCAGCTTGGTAAAACTTTTTAGAGCTTGTTCTCAACTGGCACAACCTTTTAGAAACCAGAGACACTCCATTTCACGAGTATTATTTTGTGGATGAATCGGGCTTTCTTGTTTTTGTTTTTCAAAAATGAGCATTACAAAAATAAATTGTAGGAGAAATGCTCTCCCCACCCCAATGAAAATTGTATTATTTAACCATTTCTGATGTTTGAGAAAAAATACTGAATATGCAGGTAAGGAAAGTCTAGGACAATTTGTCAAAGTTTTAATCTTTATATTGTGAGTCTTGTGTTAAAAATACTGGACTTACCACTGTTCATATGGTATTCTGCTTCTGCTGTATTGACAACTGAAACAGAAAAATAGAGTAAGACATTTGTTTATTTAGGGCTTTATGATTGTATTTACTACTTTTAAATATTTTAGCAATATGGCATGAATTTTTAGAACTGAGTTGTTTATGATGGGATGATTCTAAAAAATAAAATTGGGTTGGAAGGGGTAAAAAAGAATAATTATCTCATAAAAATGAGGTATGAAAGGAAGAACTAATATAGCAGAAACAGGTGGGGGTAATGTTGGAATCTTACTCTCACTTGGGTGGAAGAAGAAACAAAATATACATCTGAAAAGGTTTAAAAGTCTTCTGTACTTCTAGAGCGGTGAGAAAATGAGTGGGGGAGGGACTTCAAAAAGGTATATAGAAGGGTAGGGGGAGATGATAAGGGAGGGAATTTTAGAGGGTTGGGTAAAATAAGGAATAAGAGGGTAAGAGGAAATGATAAGGTAACAGGGATAGGGTAAAAGAGAAGCTAAGAAGGAAAGTAGTAAAACTAAGATGGAGGGAAATTCACAAAAAGCAATAGGAGTCATTCCCCAATTGATAAATGGCCAAAGGATGTGAACAGGCAGTTTTCCAGTGAAGAAATCAAAACAATTTATAGTCATATAAAATGTTCTAAATTATTATTGATTACAGAAATTCAGATTGAAACAACTTATATCATTTTACACCTACCAGACTGGCTAAAACGATAGAAGGGAAAAGTGACAGATGTTGGAGAAGTCGTGGAAAAATTGAGACACTAATTTATTGTGTGTAGAACTGTAAGATTGTAAAAAAAAATTCAAACTATTTTGGAGAGCAATATGGAATTATGCCCAAGAGTTATTAAACTACCTATACCCATTGACCCAGCAATACTACTACTTGATCTATTTCCAAAGATAATTAGGGAAAAAGGAAAAGAAACTATATGTTTAAAATGTTTATAGCGAGGTCTCCTTGTGTTTGCAAAGAACTGGAAATTGCAGGGATGCCATCAATTGGGGAATGGCTGAATAAGTTGTGGTATATGATTGTGATGGAATACTACTGTGCTATAAGAAATGATTAGCTCAATGATTTTAGAAAAAACATGGAAATACTTACATGAAATAATGAAGCGTGAAATAAACAGAAAAGAGAACATTGTATACAATAACAGCAATATAGTTTTAAGAATGACATTGAGCAAATGAGCTATTTTTTCTATTATAAATATCCAAATTAATTATAAAGGACATATGAAGAAAGGTGATATCTGTATCCAAATGGTAAATAGAATTATGTATAGAATAATTTTACATATTTATATATATATATATATATATATATATATCTACATACACACACATATCACCTGTTTGTGTCTCTCTAGGGAGGGGGGAAGGAAGAAAAAAAGAAAAAAATACATGATAATTTTGTTGTATACTTGGAAGGAACAGAAAATCATGCATAGTAGATTTGCAGTTTCATATACCATCAACTTTTTTTGGTACTATGTTATGGAAATGTTTGTTTTATTCCATAAATTAGAAATAAAATTTAAAAAACTGGTAGGAATGACAAGTATTTAATGAATGCCTGCTATTCCAGGAGTAATAAGCCCTAGGGGTTGTAAAGAAAGAAGGTAGGAAAAAAATCCCTGCCCTCAAGGAGCTCACCATCTTATCTTTTTGCCTTTTTTTTTGTTTCCCCAGGACTTGGGACAGGGTCTGGCCCATAGTAGGTGCTTAATCCATGCTTATTTGACTAGACATTTGGTAATAATAACTAGTGCTTATATATCACTGTAACATTTTCAAAGTGCTTTACATACATCATCTTATTTAATTCATAGAACAACCCTGTAATGTAGCTGTTGTTATTACCCCCAATTTACAAAAGAGGAAACTGAGGCTAAAAGATATTAAATGTCTTGCCCATCGCATACAGTTAGTAAAGGATTGAGGCAGGAGTAAAAAACAATCTCTCTTTATAGACAGATACATATAGATATTCTCCATAAATACGTGTGTGTATATATTCACATGTACACGTGTGTGTACACACACGTTCATGTAAGTATGTGTAGCTATACCCATATACACAGTATATATATATATATGTATATGTATATGTATGTGTGTATACATACTATATATACATACATGCACACACATACACACATACATATATGCATGTATACATACATACATATACATACATGTGTGTGTGTGTATATATATATGGTAGAAGGTAAACTCATTGAGGACAGGAATGCTTTCACTTTTGTCTTTATATTTCCAGCTCACAAAAGAAAAAAAATGATGTAAAACATGATAGTCAAAGAGAAGGAACAGAGACTATCAAAGAGGAGAATGCAGACAAGATGTTATGAGGAACTTGAAAATTACTAAGCATAGAATCTGACTTTGTATCCTGAATTAAGACAAAAAGGATAATGTTTGGGGTTATGTAGTGTTGATTGTTTGATAAAAGAAATTTTATTCATCTTGAGAAAAAAACTTTTCCCTGACTCAACTCTAAGAGTTTTTCACTTGAATCCAATATAAGAGACATTGGTTGGGGGGGAGGTGTAATGAGCATTACAGGGGGCAGAACTAAGATGGTAAAGCAGAGGCAGCAACCCAGCCAAACATTCTACATTCTACTCCAAACAACTTTAAAATTATGATCAAATTTAGGAGTGGTGGAGCCAACAAAAGGTCAGGGTGAGACATTTTTCCATCCTAAGACAATTTAGGAGATTGGCAGAAGTCTGCAACACCAAGGTTGAGGCCAATCACTGTTGGCAGCACCAGCAGTAGGCCTTGGAGATTCAGAACTCTCAGCCCAGAGATGGTAATGGGTATGAACAATGGGTCAGAAAGAGATTACGGGGGAACCTTTGCTGGCACTAGATGTAGTACCTGGCACTGTTTGGCAATGTATTGCTAAATATAGTGCTAGATATCAGTTTCAGGGCAGAGAGTAACACTTGTCAGTCATAAGGAGATAATCAGGGAAACTATATTTTGCTAAAAGGTATCATTGAGAATGAAGTAATATGAAATATTTTTAGAGCAAGTTTGTTTAGTAAAGGTCTCCTTTATCAAATAAATAGGAAATGGAATCAAATTCATAAAAATAAGAGACATTCCCCACTTGAGAAATAGTCAAAGGATATAAACAGTTGGTTTTCAGAAGAAATAAAATCTGTCTATAGTCATATGAAAAAATTCTCTAAATCATCATTGATTAGAAAAATACATATTGAAATAACTCTGAGATACCACCTCATACCTATCAGAATTGAAAAATGCTGAAGGGAATGTGGGAAAATAGGTACACTAATAAAGTATTGGTAGAGTTGTGAACTGGTCCTACCATTCGGGTGAAAAATTTGGAACTATGCTTAAAGGGCTATAAAACTGTGCATACCTTTTGACTTATGATATGACTACTAGGCCTATATCCCAAAGAGATCAAAGAAAAAGGAAAAAGACTTATATGTATGAAAAATTTTATAGTAATTCTTTTTGCAGTAACAAAAATTGGAAATTGAGGGGATGCCCACCAATTGGGGAATGACTGAAAAACTTGTGGTGTACAATTGTGAAATGATAAGGGGCATGCTTTCATAAAAATTTGGCAGGACCTATATGAACTGATGCAAAATGAAGTGAGCAGATGGCAATGTAATTAGTAACAGCAATATCGTAATGATCAACTATGAAAGACTTAACTACTCTGATCAATATTATGATCCAAGACAATTCCAAAGATCTTATGATGAAAGATGTTACCCACCCCCAGAGAGAAAACTAATAAAATCTCAGTGCAAATTGAAGCATAATTTTCTCACTTTATTTTTCTTGCTTTGTGACATGGCTAATATGCAAATGTTTTTCATGATTTCACATGCATAATTGATATTGAATTTCTTGCCTTCTCAGTGGCAGGTAGGGGTTGCAGGTAGCTAGAGAATTTGGAACTCAAAATTTTAAAAAGAATGTTAAAAATAAATAAATAATAAATTTAAAAAACATTTCAATAGGAATGTAAGTTTTGGGTGTCTAGGTTTTAGGATGCCCTAGGATTCTATTTTATTTTTAGTTGTAGCATTAATAATGCTCAAAAATGGGCCGAGCGCAGAACTGGTTCCAACCTCTGATCTTTGCATTATTTTTTTTACTGTCTGATCTCAACCAAATCTATGACTCAGTTTCTTCCCCCTTTGCAAGTGAGATAATAATATGCCTACTCCATTCACCAGAAGTAGTTTGAGAAACAAATAATAAGAGAAAAATTACTAGGCGCTTGAAATATTTTGACAGCTCTACAATCTGATTTCTCTGTTTGCCAACTTGTGTGTTAAATGTTCTAAGAAAATATGGCAACTTCAAATTAATTTGGAGGGGTGGTAGTGATAACAATCTCAAAATTTAATGAACCATCTTTAATATCATACTCCAAACATGTATCAGCTATTTATGCTGTTGTGGCTGATAAGGTGGTTCTTTGTGTTTACCACGTTGTCAGGGATAGACACCTTTCTTTTCCTGAGGGTGGCTTCTCTGGCCATCCCATTCCTGTCTGGGAGGAACAGGTCTACTGTAACTTAGTTGCAGCCCTATTCAATCTATGCCCCAAACACCAACTTCTATTTCCCTTTACTACTCCACAGTTCTGTCTAGGATGAAAGGGAAGAGGGGTGAGATGGGGAGAGAGCAGGGGAGGGTGGTGAATGCCAGAGGCAATAATAGGTGGGTGAATTGGCAGCAAAGGGGAAAGGAGAGGTGTTTATTTGGTTTGTTTTTGGCACTGTGCATTTTCCTAAGCAGCTCTTGAATGTTGTCCCAGAGGGAAGAAATGTTTTATGCACTATATTTCACGTGCTTCAAAGTGATAAAGAGACAGTAAGTGGTTGGAGGGTCATCTTCAGGCCCAAAATGACCCAAGTGCAAGTCCAACCTCTGATGCACATTGGCTCTGTGACCCCAGACAACTCACAGAAGTTCTCAGTGCCTCAGGAAACCTGCTAAGATTATACATTGCAGGCTAGGTGGCAATCTGCACTGGTCAAAGGTAGTTTCTTCATAGAGAATTAATTACCTTTCCCAATGAGATCACAGGTTTGATCTTAAGAGAAAATTGCGCTTCTATTAATAGGATCATGCATTTAGAACTGGAAGGAAATTAAGAGGTCATTTAGTCATTCGTTTTACATATGAGGAAATTGAAGCTTAGGGAGACAAAATGACTTCCCCAAGGTCACACAGGTAGTAAGTGATAGGCTTAAAACCCATGATCTCTGACCCAAATTCTATAGTCTTCCCTCTACACCATTTTACTTCTTTCTACAACAACTAGAGAAGCATTTATTAAAATTCTTTATGGGGCAGTAGAAAGAGGACTGGCTTTAGAGACAGAGGACTTGGATTTAAACCAGGCTTAACCAAATGACTTCAGTTCTCTGGGCCTCAGTTTCTTAATTTATAAAATGAGGGGTTGGACTTGTGCATGCTGCCAAATGTTTAACAACCAACTCTCAAAAATGTAAGCACAAAATAATTTAAATTTTAATCTGCATTTTTAACATTTTCTCTATCACTTTCTTAAGTCTAGACAATCATCCAATCCCATTAAGTCCTTGATTTGTAGTTTTCTAGTTTTCCAGGTATAAATACTCAAACTGAAAATTTAACGATCAGCTCTTGAGAGCCAGTTAGAGCTGGTTTCAAAACATCCTGGTTTGAACTAGATGATAGCTGAGGTCCCTTTCAGCTCTAAATCTACCTTCCAATCATCCTACTATGTGTGCAAGGAAACATGTTAGGTTCTGGAACTTCAAAACTGAGAAACAAGATAGTCCCAACCTTCGTGAAATTTGCTGTCCGCTTCAGGGGATATGATGTGTGCACAAAGACATGCTCAAGGTAGAATTGTACCAGGATAAAAGGGAGAGCCAGAGAATTCTAGAAAATATGAAGAGAGGGGCAGCTAGATGGCACAGTGGATAGAGCACCAGCCCTGAAGTCAGGAGGACCTCAGTTCAAATCTGGCCTCAGACTAAACACTTGACACTTATTAGCTGTGTGACCCTGGGCAAGTCACTTAGACCCAATTGCCTAAAAAAAAAAAAAAGAAAATATGAAGAGAGAAAGAGGGTGATTTCAATTGTGGAGGGAAGGGAAGCACTGAAAGAGGTGGATCAGAGAAGACTTTAGGGAAGAGGGTGGAGCCTGAACTGAGCCTTGAAAGCAGAGAAGGATTTCCTTCTGTGATAATATTTGTAAAAGCATTTGGTACAGTGTCTGGTACACGGTAAGTGCTTAATAAATGCTTATTTTCTTCCCCCCTCCCTTCTCAATCACTTCTAAAGTAACCGAAGAACATAAAATTGTCTGTACGTATTGTGTGGAACCTATTTCACACTGAAATAGACGGCAAGTTAAAAACATTGAAAAAACCCCATATTTTATAAGAGTGCAGAAATGAAATTGAAATGGAGAAGAAATGTAAGGGTTAATGAGGAAAAAAACAAGAGGCCTAGTAGATTGATATGAAAGAAAATGCCCCTTGCCTTGAAGATGAGGTGAAGAACCATCTACTTCCAAGAATTGTGTGCCATCTTTTAAGTTCTGATGCAAAATCTTCTCGGCCATCTTTTTTATTTTGTTTTCATTATCAGCAGAAGCAAATTGAAATTTAAGCAATACATCTGCTTTCAGACCATCAGTGCTTGACCTGAAAATTGACAACAGCAAAAAAGGTTAAGAGAGAATGCAAGCATGACAATTTCCTTAAATTTTTCCTTATTTGTCAGAAATTACATTCTCAGGAAACCATAGCTTAAGATCCTGGCAAGAGTTGTTTTTAGTTACTTTTTTTAGCCCTCTCAAAGAAAAAGGATAGCTATACTGGCAGGTATTTTTTGTTTTGCGTTTTTGCATTTTTTGTCTAAGGCACTAATCATATTGAGGAAGCAGAGAGTTCCCTTAGAGTCTCAGGAAGTTTCAGATTATTTTCCTTTTCTGAAGAAAAAGTTTTCCTTATTATTTCAATCAACTTTGTACATAAATTAGGCTTCCAAAATCCATAACAACTATATGACCATGTCTGTTTTAGGAGAAAATTTCATGGCAACTGGAAGGGGTGGGGCTTCCTGATTGACTTTAAGGAAACTTAACCAGCTGTCCAGAAAACTTAAAACACAGTGTCATGTTTTTCACAGTTCCCATGTTTTCCATCTCTTTGAATTTTTTCTTTTGTTATATAGACTTTATTGTTGTTGTTGTTGTTGTTGTTGTTTCTGCTGCTGTTGTTGTTGTTCAGTCGTTCAGTTGTGTCTGACTCTTTGTAACCAGATGGATGTCTGTCCATGGGGTTCTCCTGGCAAAGATGCTGACGTGGTTTGCCATTTCCTTCTCCAATACATACTTAGGAATAATATAATTTTGCTATTACAAAATTATTCATTCTCTAGGTGCATTTAAAATTATGACCATTTTTCATACCATCAAAAGACATATGACTAAAGAGAAACTAAAATCAAATTTCCCCTTTTTCATTTCAGTTTGCAAGGTGATTATTTGTGATTACCTGAATCTGACAACATGAGACTTGATGTATTGTCCTTTTAAATTGGATTTTCTAAAAATATCATCTACCTGAGAAAAGAAAAGGAAAATATTAGCAGAATTGAATTTGATACCACAAAGAAAACCACATTACTTTAATCTGACTGGAGTCAGGAGACCCGAGTTCAAATCCAATCTCAGACACTCACTAGCTGTGTGACCCTTGGCAAATCACTTAACCCTGAATGCCTGGCAAAAAGAAAAAAAAAGACTTGAATAGAATGATGTTACAACTTTAAATGTTTATCTCAATATTTGTTTATAATTGCCTTCAGAAAACACTTTGTAGACTAGGCAATATCCTTCTTGCACAAAGATCAACTTTATATAAGGTGAAGTGGAGCAAACATTCAGCAAACTTGAGCAATAGTCAGAGATGGGTGATAACATTTGGTCTAGGCTGGTGTTGTTGCAGAGTAAATAGAATAATGAATACTTAAAAGTTAGGAACTCAGAGACAGGGTATCCTCACTGAAAGATGAGTGTGAATAGTCCTACTCTTCAACCATTATCATGTAACCCCAAGATTATTGACAACCTGGTTGTCACAAAAAAAAAAAGAAAAAGAAAATATGGGACAACTAGGTGGTGCATAGAAGCATTGGGTCTGGAGCCAGGAAGAACTGAGTTCAAATACAGTCTCAGACACTTACTAACTGTGTGACCCTGAGGAAATCACTTAACCCTGTTTGCCTCAGTTTCCTCATCTCTAAAATAAGTTGGAGAAGAAAATGGCAAACACCTCTGTTAGATTTGCCAAAAAAAACCCAAATGGAGTCACAAATGGTCAGACAGGACTGAATAATAACATTTCATTTTAAAAATCTTTTCAGACTGTAATTCTTGATGGAACTTGACTGTCTCATTCCAGTGATAAAATGAAATTGCTCAGTTGTTTGTGATTTTTATTTACTGGGGTGTGTATGCATTAAGTGCTTTCAAGAAAAAGAAAATAGTAATGGAGAGCTTTGTAGAAAAACACAAATAGAATAAAACTCCAAAAACCATTTGTTTGTCTGCCCCATGGGATAATCCCGTTGTGGGCTGAATCCTAGCATAAATTGGTATTCCCCAAACCACAGTTTGTTCTTGAAATATGTGATCTTACCCTCTTGACTCTATCATCATTTACCTGTCCAACTGGATTTTGGGGAAATGACTGATCATGTGCCAGACAAACCTCAAATGAACTTATGGCTCAATATCTTTTTAGAACGGAGAAAGACTGAGCCACAAAGTGGGCGGCCGAAGGGAAAGGGAGGAGATGAAAAGATCCAGAAGTGGAATCATTAATTCCTTAATAACTAAGTTTTGTCTTTATTTATTTTACTAAGTCTTTCGATGTCAGATTGCTCAGTTCCTTAGTTCCCTAAGGTTCTGTCATTGAAATTTTTCCCCATCTTCACCGTTTTGTTCTTTTCCTCCCCCCTCCCCCAAATCATAAGTTTAGAGCTGGAAACTTAGAGAACTAGCATAGTCTCTAACTTTATCTATGAGGAAACCAAGAAACAGAAAGGCTAAACAACTTGCCTAAAGTCATAACTAGTTAGTGATGGAGTCAAATGTATAGCACCATATATAAACTCCTGTGATTACTACGTTGTGCTGTAAGCCACTTCTTCTATCACTGTACATGTCTTATGAATTCTTACCTATGTACTTTTACTCCTACATAATTTTTTTTACTCCTACATACTTTTGCTCTAGCTTTCCCTTCCTTTCTATATATTCAAATTCTGCCCATTCTTCAAGATCAGTCTCAAGTCATACCTCCTCCGTGTAGCCTTCATTCCCTGACTACTCCAATCTATAGTGACCTCTGCCTCTTCTCAAGTTCTATAGCACTTATTCATTACAATCCATTTTGTATTTAAAGATATGCTGCCATACATTATCATTTAACTATTTCATTTGTATTTGTCTTGTCTTCCCATTTATATTACAAACTCTCAGGATCCAAGACCTATTATGTACTGCATATAATACAGTGCTTTGCATCTTCTACAGTGCTTATCATAGTGCTATCTACAAAGTTTTGGTTGCATTGATATCTGTCTCCCTCAGGTTGATTCTCGGGGTTAGAGGATTGAAGTATATAGGTGAGGTGAGATAGGGTAACTATGTCTAGTTTAGGGCTATTGTGGTATAGTTATGGATACCTAGAAGGCCAGCTTTAGGGTATGAATAATCCCAGTTTGTATTTTACCAGCACTCCTTGCTTTTATTTCTTGTTCCCCAATTTTGGTTATTTTGGTCTTTGCTATGCACTACTTTCTACCTGTAGAATATGTAGACAGCTATAGTAAGGGAATAGATAATGTTTTGTTATGCTCTGTGACCTCTGTAACTAATTAAGGTTGTTGTGTTTGTCCTTTGTTCTCAAAGGGGACCATGACATCAGAGAGGTGATGACATGATTTGCAATTGACTTTGATTTGAATGAGGGAAGGCTGTGCAAGGTCACTAGTCTCACTTTTGCCTCCAGAGTGATCTGGGTCCAGTGGTCAGATATTCATCAGGACGACTGGAGATGGCCCAGAATGCAGTGGGAGACCCTGGCCGTTTTAAGCTAAGGTCTTTTCAGGTTCTCACTTTGAGATGACGCCCATTCAGTGAATAGGCCTCTTTAAGAAGTGAGTCAAGGAATGGGAAAAGGGGGAGGAGAAAAGGGAAGGGGAGGAAGAGGGGGAGAAGGGACAAAGAGCTGAGTTACCTAACTGAAACTGACCTGCTGGGTCCCTATTCAGGCAGCTTGAACTACTCATAGGTTGTGTTTGTCTTTCATTCTGGAAGAGGACCATGACATCAAAGAGGTGATGACATGAATTGCAATTGACTTTGATTTGAGTGAGTGAGGGCTGTTCATGGTCACCAGCCTCACTTTCGCCTCCAGAGCCATCTGGAACTAATTAAAACACTTACATGTCTATAAAATTCACCTTCCATTCAGGGTCTTCTTAACTTTGCTCCTAGCTTGGGCCTAGACAAGATTATCTTTAGTGCTCTAAAAGCCTCCAAACTAACCTAGGATCCAGGAATAGAGGTTGTATGTAGTGTGCTTGTCTTCTGGTATGCCCAACAAGCCAGTGATTATTATTCTGGCTTTCTCCTAATTGAGAATTAACATTTTTAAAGCCCCTTGGTCATCGACAAATTCCCCACCCCACTCCTATGGTACTAGTGAGTCTCATAATTGATCACTTTTTTTTTAAAGGTAATTGGGGTTAAGTGACTTGCCCAGGGTCACACAGCTAGTAAGTGTTGAGTGTTTGGTCTGAGGCTGGATTTGAACTCAGGTTCTCCTGACTTCAGGGCAGGTGCTCTATCCACTGCGCCACCTAGCTGCCCCAATTGATCACATTTTCATAGTCAAAATGTCAGAATTTTAGTTGTCAGTTTCTTCTAAACATGTTTTTTGAAATGACTTACCTACTCCATCTTGTTCTGTCCCCAGTTGTCTTCACTGTCTGATCATTTTCCCTTTAGAATTTTCTGAAGAAATATTTCTAAGCCTTACAGATATGATCCAGCTTCCTTTGCTAGTTACTGTATGTGCTTTATGTTTCAGGGCTTAACGGGGACCATACCACAATGCTGTACATTACACTTGATGCTGGCTACTAGTCTCAATGATTTTGCTATATCTATATATTCTAGGAGCAAATGGGACACGTAAGCTGATGCGGAAAAATGTATTTGGTATAGTGAATCAAGTGTATTTAATGCATTTCATTCTTTAATTAAAAAAATAAATTGTATTAGCATTTTTGCTTTAACATAATCTATATTTTCCCATGTATCACCCCCCCCGAACCCCAAGAGCAAACCTTATTAAAAAAAATAAAAAGAGGGGAAACAAAATTCAGTAAAACTAATCAACACCTCACAAAAGTCTGACAATACATGTGGTATTCTACACTCATTCCTTCACTGCCTCTGCAAAGAAGTGGTGGGAGGTACCTTCTCATATCTTTTGCTAACACAGTGCCGGGATTGGAAGAATTTCATAAATGCTAGCTCACCGACTGATTTTTCGACCAAGCTGGCCATTATAATTTTAAAGCATTCATTTACATTTATTTTTTGTTATTCCTTCCATTTACATTGTTATGGTTATTGTGTGCATTGTTTTATTTTCTTGTCCTGCTTACTTCACCTTGCAGCAGCAGCTCATATGTCTGTCCATATTTCTCTGTTTTCATACATATCATCATAGTAATATCCATTACACATTCATGTACCACAACATATCTAATCATTACTCAGTCATTGGACCTCCATGATGTTTGTTTTGTTTCCATTTTTTTGCTACTTTGAAAATAGTCATTATAAATATTTTGTTGCTTATGGGATCTTTGTTTTTGCCCTTAATCTCCGTGGGGTATATTATATGCCTAGGAATAGAATCTCTTCGACCAAGAAGTATAGGCATTTTAATTACTCTTAGCACCGTTTCAAATTGCTTTACAGAATTGGGTTAGCTAATTCATAGCTCCACCAATGATGCATTAATGTCCTTCTTTCTGCATACCCCTTCAACATTGTCTAGTCCAATCTGTTATCTTCTTTGTCAGTTTGCTGGGTGTGAGGTGAACACTCTGGGTTGTTTTGAATTGAAACTTTTATTATTAGTTGTTCTGAGCATTCTTTCATGTGGTTGTTAATACTTTGAAATTCTTTTGAGAACAGTTTATTTACATACTCTGACACAACTATTGGGAATGGATTTTGGTTTTATGCAAGATGTACCAAAAGTCTTAATTAAACTTTAATAGCTTGAAGTTATTAAGCTTCAGTAGCTTAAACCTGAACTAAGCCTTTTGGGACACTTTGTATTTTTCTGTTGCCTATCAAAGTATTTGGCAAAAAAATTTTTTTCTTTAGTCATCTTTACCTTTCTTATCCTAGTATCATCACTTGCTCATGCAAAACCTTTTAAGTTTCATATAATTCAAATTGAAATTAGGGGAGCTAGGGTACTGGGCCTGAAGTCAGGAAGGGTCATATTTCCGAGTTCAAATATGGCTTCAGACACTTCTTAGCTGTGTGACACCAGGTAAGTCCCTTAGCCCTGTTTGCCTCAGTTCCTCAGTTCCCCATTTGTAAAATGAGCTGGAGAAGGAAATGGCAAACCATTCTAGTGTCATTGCTAAGAATGGGGTCGTGAAGAGTTAGACATGACTGAAACAACTAAACAACAACAACGATTGAAATTATCTGTATCTTTTGTGGTTGCCTATATCCCTTGTTTGATCAAGAATTCATCCTCCTCCCCCAGTCATATCTGTAAAAGGAAGCTGATCTGGTTTTAATATTTTATGGTAAAATTTTAAGTCGTGTATTAATTTTTAGTTACTGTGGCATATGCTGTAAGATAATGGTCTAAAACTAAAGTTCTCTGTGTGACCCTGGGAAAGTCATTTAACCCCAATTGCCTAGCAAAAATAAAAAAAGAAAATAAAAATAAAAATAAAGTTTATTCTTAGCAAATTGTAGTTGGTGGTAAAGTTTATTAAAGGTCCAATATAACTATCTTCAGATGTCTCTAGTAACTTTTATTGCCATATACTTACATAAATTGTTTTCCTGCTCGCTGCTGAATTCTTTAAGATTGATATACTTTCTTTCTCTAGTTGTCCTTTTCTAATTATCTCAGACAGATTTACTTATAGCTAACCTTTCCCTCCAGCAGAATTCTTTCTAGCAGCATTCTTAGGTATGGAATGATTCTGGCAGAAGGTCAGCAAAAGTCCAGCTTACCTGATTGCTGATCCTTGCTTTAACTTCAGAATGGGCTGCCTCCAATTCAACCCTAGGTATCCTGAAGGAGGTTTGGTAGTAATGTGGCTTCCGATCTGGAAAGGAAAGCAAGGCAAGAGGTGTTTATTGTCTGTAGCTGGGTTTTGAGAATGGGAAGAAATACGTTAAGTGGAAAGGTAACTGAGAAAACTCATATAGTTATATCCTCCCTAACTACTACTACGACTACTACAACTACTACTACCTACCTACCTACCTACCTTTTATATAGCACTTCTTATGTGCCAAGCACTGTGCTAAGCACTTTATAATTATTATATCATTAGATCTTCACAACAACCCTGGGAGACAGGGGCTATTATTATCCGCATTTTACAGTTGAGGAGACTGAGACAGAGAGGGGTTAAGTAACTTGTCTAGGGTCACACAGCTGGTAAGTGTCTGAGGCTGCATTTGAACTCAGATCTTCCTGACTCCAGGCCCAGCCCTCTATCCACTTCAGCACCTAGCTGCCCAAGTTTATAATTATATGAATTATTTGAATATCTGAAGTCCAATACACCACAAGCTTAATCTCTCTGTATCTCAGTTTCCTCATATGTAGGATGGAGATAATAATAGCACCTCCTTCATAGGGTTATTATGAGAATCAAATGAGTAACTATATATGTGTGTGTGTATGTGTGTGTGTGTGTGTATTCATATATATATATATATATATATATATATACACATACATACATACATGCATATATATAAAACTTTGCAAACCTTAAAGTGCCAGCTATAATAATAATAATAATAGTTATTATTATTATTAACATCATTTTAACTCCTAAGTAAGGAATATTCCTTGTATGCCCAATACCTAGCACAGGGTCTTGTTCATAGTAAGCATTTAATACATTTTTGTTGAATTGAATTAAATCTTAGCTGTGTCTTTCCTCACCTATTAGACTGTAAATTTATGAGCAAGGCCTTTGCTATATCTGCCATTGTATCTCCAATATCAAATGTCTCCAAGTTATTTATGATCTCTTAATTTCCCAGTCCTCATCCTTCTTGACCTCTCTGTAGCCTTTGATACTGTTGGTCATCCTCTTCTTGATGTTCTCTTCTCTCTAGATTTTTGTGACACTGATCTCTCCTGGTTCTCATCCTACCTGTCTGACCTCTCCTTCTATGTCTCATTTGCTATATCTTTACGCCTATCACACCTCTAATAGTGAGTGTCCCCCACTACTCTCTCCTGGGCCCTCTTCTCTTCTCCCTATAGACTATTTCCCTTAGTCCCTCATCAGCTCCTATAGTTTCAATCATCTTCTCTATATAGATGAATCTCAAGTCTACTTATCCAGCTCTAAACTCTCTTTCAGACTAGAGTCTAAGAGTTCAAACTTGCCTTTCAGATATCTTGAACTAGATGTCCTATAGACATCTTACACCTAATATGTCCAAAATTGAACTTATCTTTTTCCCTTCTCCTCTTCTGAACTTTCCTATTACTGTCAAGGGTATCACCATCTCTCAGTCACCCAAGCTAGAAACCTAGGTGTCATCCTTGACTCCCCACTCTCTCTCATCCAATGTCCAATCAGTGGGACATCTTGTCATTTTTACTTATGTATACCCCCTTCTCTCTTCTGACCACTGTCACTACCTCCATTACAGGCTCTCATCCTGTGATGCCCAGATTAATAGAATAGTTTGCTTGTTGATCTGTCTGCCATGAGTCTCTTCCTGCCACCATCCATCCTCAGCTTGGTTGTCAAATTCATCTTCCCAAAAAACAGGTCTGGCTATATTACCCCTTTTGTACTCAATAAACTCCATTAGCTCCAGGATAAAATGTGAAATTCTCTGCTTCACTTTCAAAGACCTTTGACTCTAAATCTATTGCTGTTAACATTGCAGCATACCATTTTCTATGTCAAGTTGACAATCATTAATAAGCCAATCACCATGCTAAGCATTGGGGATAAAGAGAAAGGTAGAACAAGACAAAAGTCCCTTTTCTTAAGCAACTTCCAGACTAAGGAGAGAGAAAATATGTAAATGATTATGTGTAAACAAGATAAATGCAGCTTTAATTGGAAATGATCTTAGAGGGAAGGCACTAGCACTGAAGGGAATCAGGAAAGGCTTACTGCAGAAAGTGAGGTTTTGTAGTACCTGAAGAAAAATGGAGAAGCCTGGGTACAAGGTAAGATATGGTCCCTGTCATCCTGGAGCTCATAACTTATGGGAGAATAATGGATAGCTAGCTAAATTATATAATATTACATAGGAAGTACATAAGTCAGGAGAATATTTGGTAGATGGAGTAATCAAGTCTATGTACATACCCAGTGTTCACTTAATGAATGTTGGTTGAATATAATGTTTGTGGATAATGAAAACTAGAAAATTACATTCGGTAATATTGCAGGCTTTTTGCTCTCTATAGATGGTATATATCTAGTAAATCCTATCTGATTATGACTGATAATGAATGAACTGTAAATTGTAATCTACAAAAGTTTGAAATATTATTCCTATGTAAATTACTGAATCATTCTTGCATTATTATTGATTTTGATGTGAAAATTATTGAAAAACTGAAATAATTTAGTAAATATTCCTTTAATAAAGGAAAATGTTAGAGCTATTTTGTCCACTTACAGATGAGAATGTATGTGAGAGATGTACATATGGATTCCTTCATTCCTTTGTTCCTTCCTTTGTTCCTTCATTCTTTTCTTCCTTCCTTTGTTCCTTTCTTCCTTCCTTCCTCTTTCTTTCTTTCTTTCTTTCTTTCTTTCTTTCTTTCTTTCTTTCTTTCTTTCTTCCTTCCTTCCTTCTTCCTCCTTCCTTCCTTTCTTCTTCTTCTTCTTTCTTTTCTTTCTTTCTTTCTTTCTTTCTTCTTTCTTCTTCTTCTTCTTTCTTCTTTCCTTCTTTCTTTCTTTTTCTTCTTCTTTCTTTCTTTCTTTCTCTCTCTCTCTTTCTCTCTTCTTTCTCTCTCTCTCTCTTCTCTCTCTCTCTCTCTCTCTCTCTCTCTCTCTTCTCTCTCTCTCTTCAGGACTCCCTATCTCATTCAGACTGGAAATTTAGGGACTATACATAAAATCAGTTCCATTCTGAGAAACTTTGACCTATTCTGTTTTCCCAACCTAGGTTGGTTTTCCCCTCCTTGAGCAAATTGGTGGCCTCTCATTCTGTGGGGTTACCATATTTCTCACAGGATACCTGATGACCCGTTTCAGATCAGAACTCCTAAGCTCAAGAAGTACATCAGCCTCAGTCTCCCAAGGAGCTATGATTAAAGGCATGAGCCCCACTTCCAGTATATTCATGCATTCCTAAGCAAGGCTAGTGGTACATCCTTTGAATGCATACATTTCAGTTCTAAGATTAGTAGTTTGCAAACTGGTCTAAAGATTACAGTGGTAAATAAAAGCTGAATTTTCAAAAAACCCTTTAGTGTGTAACAACTCGAAAAAGCACATTTGTGGGAAGTACCTAACTTGGATACATGGCCCCTGGTGACTGGGATAAGGGAACACTGGGAGAATGGGTGAAAGTTTGAATAGCTACATGAATATGGTAGATAGCAGAAGAGTCTAATAGCTGTGAGGATTTGTATTAGGCTGAATTGTAAGCTTCAGAAAAGGGACTAAACATGTGATTTCATTGTTATAGGGAACTCTTAGGTGAGGAAGCTCACTACCAATGGAGGTCAGCCCTGATCTTAGCAAATTGCCAGGAACATTGAAAGATTATATGCTTTGCCCAGGATCACATAGCCAGTATGTGTAAGATGCAGGACTTGAACCCAGGTCTTTCTGGGTTTGAAGATACTTTCTGATGACTATGCCATGCTGACCATCAGAATTATTAAATTATGCAATCTGATGATCACACTACTGGGAAAAATGTGGGAGATAAGAACACTTATACTTGGTGTCCTATTTGGCAGGAGATATCATTGTGTGGCAACCTCATTATGTGAGGTATCATCACATAGTAATATCAATATATGAAATACTAATATATGAGATATATTATATATGGAGATATTATATGAAATAAACCATAGTATTTAAATCAAAGGGAAGTTGTTATTTATAGACTTGTCACTTTCTTTTTTTTAATTTATTTATTTTTAGTTTTTAACATTTACTTCCACAAGATTTTGAGTTCCAAATTTTCACCCCATTTTGCCCCTCTCCTCACCCCAAGATGGCATGCATTCTGAATATCCCTTCCCCTAGTCTGCCCTCCTTTCTATCTCTCCCTGCCTTCTCTTATCTCCTTCCCTTTCTGCTTTCCTGTAGGGCAGGACAGATTTCTGCACCCCATTTCCTGTATTTCTTATTTCCCAGTTGCATATGAAAGCATTTTTTTAAAATATGTGTTTTAAAACTTTGGGTTCCAAATTTTCTCCCTTCCTCCCTCCCCACCCACTCTCATTGAAAAGGCAAGCAACTCAATATAGGTCATACATATGCAGTTATGCAAAACACTTCCATAGTAGTCATATTGTGAAAAACCAACTCTATTTCTCTTAATCCTATCCCATCCCCCCATTTATTCTATTCTTTCTTTTGACCCTGTCCCTCCTCAGAAATGTTTGCTTCTGATTACCCCCTTTCCCAATCTGTCCTCTTTATCATTCCCCTGCTCTCTTGTCCTCTTCTCCCCTTATTTTCCTGTAGGGTAAGACAGCTTTCCATACACAATTGAGTGTGTATGTTATTCCCTCCTTAAGCCAAGTCCTATGAGAATAAGATTCACTCATTCCCTCTCACTTCCCCCCGTTTCCCCTCCACTGTAAGAGCCTTTTCTTTTTTGTTTTTTGTGAGATAATTTACCCCGTTCTACCTCTCCCTTTCTTCTTCTCCCACTATCATCCTCTCTCACCCCTTATTTTTATTCTCCAGATAGCACCCCTTCATTTTCAACTCACGCTGTCATATCTATCTATATCTATATCTATATCTATATCTATATCTATATCTATATCTATATCTATATCTATATCTATATCTATATCTATATCTATATCTATATCTATATCTATATCTATATCTATATCTATATCTATATCCATATCTATATCTATATCCATATCTATATCTATATCCATATCCATATCTATCTATATACATACATATAATTTTTCCCTCCAACTACCCTGATACTGACAAAGGTCTCATGAGTTATAAATGTCATCTTTCCATGCAGGAATGTAAGCAGGCAGAAATAAACAATTCAAGTATTGTGGAAACACAATGAGGATAACACAAGATTTAGCAGCTTCTACGTTAAAGGACCTCAGGGCATGGAATATAATATTCTGGAGGGCAAAGGAGATAGGATTACAACCAAGAATCACCTACCCAGCAAAACTGAGTATAATCCTTCAGGGGAAAAAATGGTCATTCAGTGAAATAGAGGACTTTCAAGCATTCCTGATGAAAAGACCAGAACCGAATAGAAAAAATTTTACTTTTAAATACAAGACTGAAGTGGAACATGAAGAGGTAAACAGGAAAGAGAAATCATAAGAGACTTATTAAGGTTGAACTGTTTACATTCCTACATGGAAAGACTTGTCACTTTCTAAGTATAACCCTATTAATTTGGATGATAATTGAATGTTGAAATCATAGAAAATACTATGATATCGAAATGGAAGGAAATTATGGAACCAGATTGACAAATTAAGCATAAATTAATACTTACCAAACACTAAAAAATGAACAGGGAGAGCAATGACAAGTGCCAGAACCAAAACTACAGCCACAACAGTAAGGCCGATCACCCAGGAATTCATAGGGGAATTTCTGAGGCCCAGTCTCGGAGGTCTTAGGAAAGAAAACACAGACATTGTACATGAGATAGAGAGGCACTTAGGGCAAAGGAAGGAACATTGCCTGCTCAAAGAATTAGAAGACCTAGGTGGGGAGCTTGGCCCTGACCCTCACTAATTCTGTAACCTTAAGCAAGTAATGTAACTTATTTGAAATCCAGTTTCCTTATCTGTAGAGCAGGTATATATACGTATGTATATATTACTTGTGATTTTTACCTTATGAAGTTGTGAGGAAAACATTTTGTAAACCATAAAGCATTATACTAATGGGAACTGTTTTGTGTAGTAGCAAAAAAAAATAATTATTTTAATTCTGTCAGCTTAAACTCAGGACCTTTCTATTTTTTTTTTAATTTGGGGAGAATTACAATTTGCTTTTAAGACATTTGATTTTTCTCCCCAAAGTTACCTTATCTCCCAAATCATAGTTTTTTTAAAATTAAGAATATAATTCATGAGCTATCCTCTATTTTAATGAAGATATTGATCACCATGCTATTGATTACTTATTATAGTTATCTAGTTTTCCAAGTTGTCATGAGAAACATGCTTTATAAGCTACAAGACTGTAAAAACCAAGAATAAACCACCAGAAATTATTAGCTATCATCATTATCATTATTTCATATCCTACTTAGAGTAAAGGGCTAATTTTCCTATAAAAGTCTGAACTTTTTGGTTTTATAGTTTAACATTTCATGTATTTGGTTCTTAGCCAACAAGTCATAAAATCATAAATCATTTATACATGGTGGGTGGAATAAGGAGGTTATCTAATCCAACTTCATTTTGCAGGTGATAAAACCAAGGCCCAGAGGCTATGTCCAAAACCACATACTTAGATAATGATGAGCTGGGACTAGAATTCAAGTTCCCTGACTCCTACTTTTGTGCTCTATATAGTAGTCTATGAGTAGATTGCAATTTAGAACAGGAGGAAAGAAAATTTAGAAGGAAATAGAGATAATCAAAATGAGAAGAAACCTATTAATACACAAATAAAAGATGATTCTCCAGTCTCCATAGAGAGGAAAAGATTCACTGGTGAAAAAATAAAAATGGAGAAGTAATTGTTTCTTAAAGCTGAAAGGGCAGTGCCAGCCTCAGTGCCCTTCCCAGTGAGTCAGGAAACAGGAAATATTTTTGAATGAGGAAGCCTATTTGGCATAGAAATATCTGTCATCAAAAGTATTTGGAATGTCCCAAATGAGACATATGAAAAAGTCAAAGCCTGAAATATACTTCTGTGAATTGGTTATTTGAAGCCCTTAGGTTATAGCTTGCTCCTTTAATCATATTAACACAACCTGAGACATTTGCAGATTTTTTTTAAGGAAAAATAACTCTTACTGTTTTATGCCTGACCTGACCTTACTACTTTTGAAGGCTTTGTTGCTTATGTGCTGCTTTCCTGACTGCCTCACCTCCTCTGTAGGTGTTCAGTCTTCACTTAATGATCGAATAATGCATAAATCACAAACCTACAAGAGTTTACACCATGAAGACTTAAGCTAGCCTTAAGTAGCCTTTTGCTACAAGTGATATACTCCACCTACACCAGGAAGAGGACTAAACAAAAATATTCAAGCGAAAACAAATGCAGTCTTCCAATCGTGCACTGAAAATATCTAAACACATAATTGTCTTTACCTCACCACTTTCTATAGAAAATTAAGCTTTAGTCTGATTCTATCCTTAAGAAAAACTAAAAAGTGTCACTACTATGAGTGAACCCAATCTCACAGAAACCTACTGACATTCAAACAATGTAAACCAATCAGTGACCTCACCCTTGATGTGTTCGTGCCAAAGTGAAGAAAAGTGGTGACAAAAGTTGCTCTTTTAGCAGGTTGATCCAGAAAATCCTCCCAAAGAGTCACGACATTTTTGAAAAGTCTCTTCCCTCTAATCCCTTCCCTACCTTCACTTTAATTCCAGACGGCTCTTTGCCTAGATTGTTTCAGGTGTTCTCTGCCACATACCTCCAAGGAAAGGAAACTGAGTTGCTCTCTCTGTACCCTAGCCCTTCAGACATTTTCCTTTTAATTTCCCACTTTTACTTTCCTTCATTCCCTTCTCTTTCCTTCATTTTGCTTCCTTCCCTTTCTCATTTTTCTCCTCTCTGTTCCCTTCTGATCTGCTGAGAACTGGTCATATGTGGCCCCTTCCTTTTCTTCCTCTTCTCTGACCTTCTTCCCTTTCTTCCTATTCTCTATTCTCTTTTCTTTTAACATTCCTACCTTCCCACACTCTTTTTCTTCTGTAATTACAGAACATTTTAGGTCTTTTTGATGCCATAGTCCTATATAAAATTAAAAGAGACAGCATTGTCTACTGGAAAGGACAATAGACTTGAAAATGGAAGACCTAAATTCAAGTTCCAGCTTAATTGAGATGAATTCTTTATATAACAACCCATGAAACAGAAAATGTAATGTATTATTATTATTAATACTCTTGCCATTTACTGCCCTAGTGACTTTGCGCAATTCATTTCAACTTTCTGGACCTCAGGGTGGCCACTCAAAAATAAGGTTGGACCGGGTGAAAAGTACTGAGGTTCCTTTCAACTCTATGTTGTCCCATGATCATTATAAAGCTACCTACAATCACTGCCTCTATGGCTTCTCTTTTTGCTTACTTCTCAACTCCTTGAGAGCTGTCTTGAGACCTTATTGCTCAACTGAAAGTGTTTTACTCAGCTGAAAGTGTTCATTTGCCAAAGGTACTAATGATCTCTTACTTTCCAAATCTGATGGATTTGCCAAATCCAAAATGCCCAATCTCTCCTTGGCATTTGATTCTATTGAATAATCTTTCCTGGATTCTCTCTCCTCTTTGAGTTTTTCATGGCACTGCTCTTTTTTGTTTTTTCTCTTATCTTTCTGACTATGCCTTCTCATTCTCCTTTGTTGTATTAGCATTTCATTATCAGCCCTAAACTGTAGGTATGCCTCAAGACTCTGTTCTGGGACCTATTCTCTTCTGTCTCTTTTTTCTCTCCATTATGTACTTATCATATCTCATGGGTTAAATTATCTTATGCAGATTAATCCCAGATTTCTATATTTAGCCCTAGTTTCCCTCCTATACTCCAGTACTTTATCAGTTATTGTTCAGTCATTTTTTGGTCATGCCTGACCCTTTGTGACCCCATTTGGGGTTTTCTTGGCAAAGATACTGGAGTGGTTTGCCACTTCCTTTTATAGCTCATTTTACTGATGAGGAACTGAGGCAAACAGGGTGAAGTGACTTGCCCAGGATCACACAGCTAATGTGACTTGCCCTTCCAGTCTGCAACACCAGCTGCCTATTTAACATTTCAAATTGAACATCCCTCAGGCACTTGTAACTTAGCACATCCAAAACAGAACTTCTCCTCTAAAACAATAGATAGATAGATTAGATAGATAGATAGATAGATAGATAGATAGATAGATAGATAGATAGATAAAGTGAGCATTTATTAACCACTTACTGTGTGTCAAGAACTGTGCTAAGTGCTGGGGATATAAGAAAGTATAAGAAATAATATAATACAATAATTTTAGATTCTTATAAATACAAGGGAAAAATATGGTCCCTATTTTCATGGAGCATATATTCAAATAGGGGAAGACAAAACATGAAGGGAGGGGGATGATAGTAAGAAAGAAGTACAAAATTTCTGAGGAAATGAAGCAATCCAGAGAATGAATTGAGCTGGGAGTGGAGTGGTCGTGACTGGGGCCCCTCAAGAAATGATAATACTAGCTAGGGACTCAGCAGTCAGGAGATCAGTCTCCATTGTTACTTCATCTCAAAGCTGTTAATGATACTGAGGAGCTTCTGCATTTACCTTAATTCTTTTGAGGGTACCAGCATGCTTCCAATCATGTATATTTGTAATCTCAGAACCATCCTCACCTTCTCATCCCACATAATTAATCTCTTTCCAAGTCTTTCTAATTCCACCTCCACAGCTTTTCATGTATCTGTCTCCTTTCTACTCACATGGCCATCAACCTACTTCACCCTCCATCACCTCTCCACTAGATACTTGCAATAGCTGCCAGAATGATATTTCCAAAGCATTGGTCTTACTTTATCACTCCACTCCATAGAAAATTACAGTGGCCATCTATTAGGTCTAGGATGAAATATGAGCTATTGCATTTAAAGACATACAAAACCTTATTTGAATCTATTTTTCTAGGTTTATTATACATTAGGTGCCTTCACACATTCTAAGGCACAGCCAAACTGACCTTGCTATTCTTTATATATAAAATTCCATCTCTCATCTCCATGCCTTTTGAACAAGCTGTCCTCATGCTTTGAATTTCTTCTCTTTGAATCCCTGCTTTGTCCTCTTAGAATCCCAGATTTTCTTCTAAAATCAAATGCCATCTGCATGGGGCTCCTGATGTCCTCAGCTGATAATGCTTGAAATTACTTCAGATTCATTTTTGTGTATTCTTATATGTGTACATGTCATCTCTGATAGAATGTTAGCATTTTGGGAACAGAGGATGTTTGATTTTTTTCTTTCTATTCTCAGTTCCTAGCATAATGCCTTACACTTAACTATAGTATTGGTTGACTGAAAATGATGAGGATAGTTGTAGTTTTCTAATAAGAAGAACAGAAAGACAAATAGATTTGCTTCATCTTGTTTAATTTCATGCTCTGACAAGCTATGTGTTTTGTTTACCTGGTGTAGTCATATATTATGAAGATTATGTAGACATAGTCTTTCATGAATTGAAGAGTGACCAATTTCAGCAATGAAATGCAATTCAAACAGTTCTCTTCTTGTGGCACTGAATTCCAAAGCAATGATAGTACTTATAAAGTAACAAGAATGATAATAATAATGATAATAATGTACACTTTTTCCTCAGTGCTGTGCACATTGTCTTACATTTCTGCTTTCTAAGGGAAGTCATTCTTTAGAGATAACAGAGAGACTTAACAATTAAACCTTTGTGGGGCCAAAAATTAATGTCTGCA